GCCTCAGCCTCCCCAAGTAGCTGGGACTACAGACACCTGCTACCACGCCTGGCTAGTTTTTCTATTTTTAACAGAGATTGGGTTTCTTTGCTCTTTCACAGGCTGGCCTTGAACTCCTGAGCTCAAGCAGTCCACCTGCCTTGGCTTCCCAAAGTGCTAAGATTATAGGCATGAACCACGGTGCCCAGTCTTAGCTTTCGTTTTTGACATGTTTGCTTACCAATAATATATGAGCTTTATAAAATTAATTTGGTAGCTTTATTTCTTTTCCTTTGTTATAGAACAGTGCCTATTGCATGAGAAATATAAATTTATTGAATATTAGAAATTCTCTGAAAAGATCATACCTTTTCTAAAACAGTTCTCTATGTTTTTCTGTTTCTTCATTGTCACTGATGTATTCATAATTTTGACTTTCACTTGGCAATGTATAACCTACATTTTGTTGAAAGTAATTATATATAGTTTTATTATTTTGATGTTTCCTTTATATCCATTTCTGTAAGCTTTTTCATTTACAACTTTCATAAGATGCTTTTTCTTATTTTCTTACATTTGCTGGATGGTTGTCTATTTTGTGTGTGAATATTTGTGTTTTCTTTGAAAGAAACTGCTCGTGGATCCCTTGACCTTTTTCTGTCTTTCTCTAAATTCTTTAGGAAGTTTTCCGTACCTTTTCTAACATGAGGTGTTAAAAGTTTTATCATTTCATTATTTTCTAGGTAATATTAAAAACAGTCAGTGCTCTGTTTTTACTTATTTTTGGCCAAAGCCTTTGGTCTTATGTATTATCACTCATATTTTGATTATTTTATAAATTAGGTAATTACTTAGAAGAGTATTTTAAACAATTATTTAGAAGCATTATTTATTTACAGGAGCATTTTATTTATTTATTTATTTAGTTTTTTAAAGACAGAGTCTCACTTTGTTGCCCTTGGTAGAGTGCTGTGGCATCACAGCTCATAACAACCTCCAGCTCTTGGGCTTAGGCAATTCTCTTGCCTCAACCTCCCAAGAAGCTGGGACTATAGGTGCTGGCTACAATACCTGGCTATTTTTTTGTTGTTGCTGCAGTTTGGCCAGGGCCGGGTTTGAACCTGCCACCCTCAGTATATGGGGCCAGTGCCCTTCTCACTGAACCACAGGTGCCACCCCATACAAGAGCATTTTAATTGTTAATTATAATTATTTTTACAATTACTTATTTAGAAAAGTGTTTTCAATAATATTTAGTAGAGTCATTTCCATAGTATTGGCGTTTTATTATAATATGATTGATTTCTTTCTACCACTCTGAGGTCAGAGAATATAGCCTGTGTAAGTTCTGTATTTCAGAATTGTTGAAGACTTTCTTATGACCTGATATATAGTGGATTTTTTTAAAATATTAAAGTGAGGTAAAAAAAAAAATACACACGGTGGCCATAATTTCATGGCCATAACTTTATGTCTTTCTGGTGTATAATTGTAACAACTATGTTTTTGTCTTATTAACTATATTATTATTTTATATCCTTATCTTCTTTTGAACAAACCTATTGTGATTGTATTTCTGCCTATTTTTCCTCATATTTTTAGTGCTTTTAACTGCATATTTTTAAGAAGTGAGGTAAGTTTCCCTCTATTTAAGTCACATTTACGCTCTCCTTGGGATGCAGGATTTTATCATAGCCCCTTCTCTGAACCTCTTTCTTCCTGTTACTTATCTTTAAACAAGAGAGATCCATTCAGGCAGAGGAGCCAAATCTTTTAGTCACCTGTTTTCTGC